GTGTGTGTGTGTGTGTGTGTGTGTGTGTGTGTGTGTGTGTGTGTGTGGTTGCCAGGCAGCGGGCTGCTGGGGCTGTGGAATGGCCCTCAGTAACAGAGACGGGGACGGGGAGGGGTTTTCTGTTTTGGTTGAACTCTATTCTCAGAAACAGCAGTTGTCTTGTCTAAAAAAGAAAAAAGGCTGATTCTTCCCCTTAGTTTTATCACGTAATGGTGGTTTCCACCCAAAAAACTTGTTTCTTTCCTCTTGTTCGTTTCAGCGTTTAGTTCAGCCGATATTTACTGGACAGCAACAATGTAAAGTTTACATTGTCTGCGCAGCGTAGATCTGTGGTTCTCCATCTTTTCAGGCCGCGCCCCCTTCGGAGGAAGAAATATTCCCATCCACCCGCCCCCCTGTCAGGAGGACTAAAACAAATCAAGCAAAATTTGAGTGTAATTAGGGAAACAAAAGTTGTACCAACTCAAGATTTTTATAATTATTTTTACTTTTAATTATTAGTAACGTATTTTTCGCTGTATAAGTCGCATTAATGACTAGACTGGCTGATGGCAGAGAGCTGATTTCATGATATTCTGGGCTCTTTTAGAGCGTTTAGAGTTTAGAAACATTATTTAGAAAATTATAAGAGTGTGGGAAGGATTTAAAATGCATAAATATAAACTACAGTAATCCCTCGCTACTTCGTGGTTTGTTTATCACAGGTTTTCTATATTGCGGATTTTCAAAGTAAGATTGGACTTGACACAATTTGCTGATTTATGGATGAGCCATGCATTGTTTATTTAAAATAACTTCTTTTAAATGATTTCGCACCAAGTGTGAAGCCCACAAATACAAGGAAAAGCTCCCTCCTGCAGCTGATCAGCTGATCTCCTTCTCAGCCACACACACACATTTCTCCTGCTGCGGTTTGTGAAGGGTTAACTCTTTGCTGTCCAGACGCACCGATCGACTTTTGTCTTCCAACTTAAAATTATGTCACATCGTAAAAATCATGATAATCACAAAATATAAAAGTGTTAAATGTTATTTTTAATTATTTTAGAACTTCTTTGTTCAGTTGTTTCAGTGTAATTGATCAAGAAGTTCATTTCTGCTCCGTGCTGCAGAGCTTGTGCTGTGTGACATCCTTTGACGTCCTGCTGCACTTCTTTTCCCTTCAATTTAAATACTGTAACATTTTAAATAAACAATCCATGCTGCATGGATTGTTCATTTAAAATGTTACAGTATTTAAATTTAAATTGTTTATTTAAGGAGGGAGATTGGGAGTAACAGGTGATGAGTGATTACAGCCTGGCACATGTCATGACAAAGTTTACTGCACTTGAACTTGAACTACTGTATCCCTACTTCGTGGTTTTTCACTTATCATGGGTGGGTGTGGTCCCAAACACCCACAATAAACGAGAGACTACTGTACTACCTACTACTTGTACTACTATTCATACTTTGTGGTTTTTCACTTATCACGGGGCTTCAGGTTATGGATCCCCCGCGATAAACGAGGGACTACTGTACTGTGAGAAACTGCCAGGTGTGACGTAGAAAATTATTCAGTTTTGTATAATTGGGCCTAAATATTTTTAGTTTTCTTGTTACATAAACTATTTAACCATTGTTAAAAATGTGGGCCTGCAGTGTAGTGATAGAGTAACTATTTGCCCTTTCCTGCCAGTCAGAAGCAGTAGGTAGTGCAAGAACAGCCTTCTGTTCAGTAAAGACAATACAATGGGTGATGCACAAGCTGCAATATCAGCACACACAGCAGCCATGGCTAAATATTGTGGGGGGAAAGAATGATGGAAACTTAATCTAGATGTAAAGCCTAATGAGCAGTGGTCAAACAGTGAGCTAGAGGCAGGACAGATTTTGGTTGACTACTGTTGAGGAGTTCCTTGTTCTGGTGAACAAAGCTGTTGACTTTGCTCCCATTTTCCATGATATACTGGTTCTTAAGTGAGCTAAGCTTTTTAAGCATGTCTGCTACAAAACCTAAAGGCAGAAAGACTGAAAGAAAGCTATTAATGAAGAGCGTTATGTGTGTGCCTTTCATCATTTCCAATCAGATTATTAGTTTTGCGCTCACCATATCAAGCTTAGGTTTTCACACTTGAATATAAACTAAATGAAAGCACTACTCAGTACATACAATATTACACATTGCATTACTGCATTTACATATAGTGTAAAATATATAGCAGAAACCACTGTATGAGTGTGATTGTATGGATGAATGAGAAACACCGTAAAACACTTTATAGTACGGTAAGAGGTTAAAATGGTGCGATGAGTGTGGACCAATGAGAAAACTACACATATCAGACAGTGATTTTTGTGTACTGTTGCATGCTGACTGAATTTAAATGTGCTCTTATGTTGCAGCTTGCAGGGGGTGTAATCTTGGGTGTGGCCCTGTGGTTGAGGCATGACAAGCAAATCAGCAGCCTGCTGGAGCTTGAACTGGATGGGACTCATCCCCCCAGCTCCTTCTACATCTGTATGTATCACTTCTCTGTCTCTATTCTGCCTCACTGTGTTTCCTCAAGTCCAAAATGAATTTATGATATGTACAAAGAGTTCATTAATAACGAGGTCCGCTGCATCTTTTGCACCACTCCGTATGCTTTAGAAAATAAAGCTTGTTTTATTGTTTGTAAATTACTTACTCACCTGGGTTCCCTCAGAAAACACAGTTGTTAGCCCCGAGCACCAAAGGCAGTGAGAAAAACCTATTTCCATTCAAACAGTTAGTTTTTTTCTACTTTCTATGAAATAAATAGCCTTTTCAGAGGTCTAGACATGCAAGATAAGACATTTATTTTTTAACAAATGTCAAGTGTGATGGAAAAAAGTATAGTTCAAGGAAATTTAAAAAAATGGGCGTGGCAAAATGTTACAACAGCACTACCTTGAATATCAGCCCCATCAAATGGTTTCATGTAGTGTATAAATGAAAACTGGTTATAAATTTCTGCAGCCAAACGTATCTCTTTGAGGTATGGATTTAACCTAACAGGAATCTTTGTGCAAAGACACCATTTTAGCATTTTACCCATATTGTATTTTATATTGCTCCTCCTAAAGATTTTTACACGTCAACTTCAGACTTGGTCAGTGTGGTTTTAAGGCATGTGTGACCAAAAGTTATCAAAAGTTTGACTTTTCTTCACAGGATGTGGGCGTGGCATGACTTCAGAATTAGACTTCTTGATTAGACGTCTTGCAATTAAACACACATATTTTATAACAAAGATAAAACCATTGAATCTACACTAAAATTCACTAATTTGATCCCAGTCTGGTTCTCAGTATGCTGTCATCCTTTACACAGGATTTTATTTTTTCATTCATTTAACCTTTATTTATACAGGTTAGCCTCATTGAGCCTCATGAGTTACTCATTTATTTTACTGATGAACATCCTTCAGTGACCTTATCATAATAACACCAAACTGTGTAGGCACATGTTTATTTGTAAGAGCAGTTAACTGAGGCTCACATCATTCATTTCATATTTGACTGCCTGGTGTGAACATTCTTACTTCAAAATATTCAGGACCCGTTTCAGTGTCAGGTCTGAAAGGGATCAATGTCTTTATCCTAGAAGGACTTCTTTAACACTAATTAAATGCTTTAAAAATGCTTCTTTTATATGCTCATGTGCAAGGCTGTATCATTGAAGAGTTTCTGATGAGACCACAGCTTGCATTAACTGTTTAAAATGTCAGGTAAGCATTATTATAAACAGTTTGTAAGAAAACCACAAGGATTAAACATTCATGTTTTGCCATGGATCATTCGTTTTAAAATAAACCCACGTTTTTATTAAAACAGTTTGTTCAGTGAGTGTTTTAAACTCTTAAACGGTTAAAGCAGGCACCGTTCAGGAGATATTTTCTGCAAGCTAACAGCAACTCAAGCTCAAAACATTTCAAGCAGCACAACCGAACGTTTTATTACATGTCTTCACACCTCGTCACTTTTGCCCCTAACTGCTTTTATTTAGTCGCAATGTTTCCAACAAAACAACGTGCACGTTGCTGCGAGTGCATGTTGGCTTCTGAACATAAACCATCACTTACTTTCGCAGTCCAGGAGTTTTTTGGGGACTCTCTAACCCAAAGTGTTTCTGCTTCGTGTGACCATTAAAGATATTTTCTTATCTTATCACACCAGAAAATGTACTTTGTTTTCGCTTTTATATTCACTCACTTAACGATTGTAAACAATTACTATAGTTGTTTGGAGATTAGACCAATTAGAGGGAACTGTGAGTCATGGCTAATCAGTGACAGGATACAATTAGCAGCCTCTGTGCACGCAATGATGCAACACAACAAGGATATTCCTGGGTTGAGACAACAGACAACATAAACAACTGTGCTATGCAAAAATATAGGGTTCACTGGAACTGTTAGGTCAGATACTGCTCCATATTTTAATTTTATTTCCCTTGTATCAGTAACTCTTCATGCATATATTGTAAAAGTCAAAATGAGCAAAGGTTATTCTAATATAATCTAGATCGAAGCATATTCAGATTGTTTGAAAACAAAAAAACTGCTGAACATTTTTATAAACATTTGCACAATTTCCTAGTGTGGCAGCACTTGAATGGAGAGTTTGGAAATCATAAATTTAGGAGCTTATGTTATTGTTCACATCCAACATATGACCTAATAATAAACGTGTTTTTTTTTTTTGCTTGGTGTATAAAATGATTGGTATTGTCATACAGGCTGGTTAAACTTATTTAAGTCAGCTCTTGGGATTTATCCTTCCAAGTCTGTTTTTACTTTTTGTGCTGAAACATTTCAGCTTGGAAAACCAAATGTTTGTAGATAAAACTGACGAGACTGGCTAGACTGATTTGAAATAAGTGGAAGGCTACAATAACTACATAATAACGTTTTAAAAAGTATTATAAGATGAAAAATGTCCTGGACATGACGTTTCACTCTTAGAGGAAGAGGGGTGGCTAAATCGGAGAACTATTGTTTCCACTCTTGTAAGCCAAGAAAAAAAAAGGTCCATCAAAGCTGAACTGGAAAATCTTGTTCTTGTTGGATGAATGTGCCTCTGCTGAGTCGCACACATTGGTTATTGTGATTCAGCCTGATCTCCATGCTGGTTGTGGTTGTGTCTTGGTGTAGAGAAAGTTTTCTAGACATAGCTCAAATTGCCACAGTTCATGCTCAATAATCCAGGTATAAAATCCAACATTCAGTCAGGTCATCTGGAAGGTTTATTTTTTGTGCTGAGACGTTTTGTCCGTCATCCAACGGACTTCTTCAGTAGCTCAAATTGATTGACGGGTAACAACTCTTTAATTATCACAAGTCTGCCATTGCTTGATTATCATGACCTATCTAGAGTACTGGATACAAACTCATTTAATTGGGGTTTTTTTTTGTGTGTGTGAACATGGCATCAAATTCAGTGGTTTGCCTCAGATGCACATTGTGAAATTATTAGGAATGAGATGCAGTAAGGAGTTTGATAAGTAGCATGAATTTCCAGCTGACAAATCACGTTAAAGAATGCTGTCAGACTCAGTAGAACAGAATTTGAACAATATGTTTTGAACATTATGTGGAGGGAAAGTTTCAGTATGGTTTTGAGAGCAAAGGGAAGTGGTTTCCAGAATTCCCGTGGCATTTCTTAAACGCTTTGACGGTATATCTTATTATGAGCTGGGGGTGGCCCGGGGTGGCCCAGCCTTGCCCAGATCATCAGCTACTTGTGACCAGGACTAACAGAGGACACCCTGGTCATCATATGACTCTGCTAGAAGCTTGTACGCCCAAATTAAGTGTGCTTATGTGTCATTTCCTCCAGTCTTCGTCAACATCTGTTAGTCATCTGTATTGTGGTGATGAGGAGAGGAAAAGAAGAAAGTTGGATACAGAACTGGAATGATTTTTTTTTTTTAAAGGAAATGTAGGTTGTCTCAAAATGGAGGACACATTTGGATCAATGTTTTTTTTTTTCCTCCTGTAAGGCAGCATAGCTGCGGTTGTTTAGAGAGGAACTACTTTGTGAGTTTCTCTGATTGCATCTTGCCCATTACATAAAGCCTCCCCCTCATTCCTGAGACAGTGAAGGAAAAAAAAAACATCATAGGAAAAAATTCCTCACTTGCCTTCCCGTCTCCACCTCCTTCTGCTCCTCCCTCTGACCAGCCGTCCCCTCCCCCTCTCAGAGAGTTCCCTTTTCTTCACATGGATCAGGTTTTTTGCACTGTGGCTCCCCTCACCCCCCCATCTGGTTGTGGTTAGTGTTAAAGTCGCCTTATGTCTCTCTTTTTTTTCCTCTCCCCTAGTTCCTCCCCCACCTTCTCGTTTTCCTACATCTGCTTTTCTCTTTTCCTCTCTCAAAACCTCACACACTCAAATAAACAATTAGCCAGTGGCAACGTCACTCCAGTTTCTACTAAATTAAACATTTACGCACATTTTCACAACTCTGTCTTTAACTGCGATGGCTAAATAACCAAAGGTTGTTTGTTCAAGTCTTATTGTACGACAACATAAGTTTCCTTAAATTTAAAGTCAATTCGTATTTGGTAATTTTGCTTTGTATCAATTTCATCAGGGAAAAGAAAGAAAAATCATCTCCTTAAATATTACAATTTTTTTTAGGTTTTATGATTAATTTAATTACTTTTATTAGAGATGTAAAAAGACAATAAGAAATATTAAATTTTTATTAAACTAAAGGTTAGGGGCGCATCGATTAGTTTTTTGGTCTATCGCCGATCTCTAAAAAGCCTGACCTGCTGATTCTGATTTTGGCCGATACCGATTTTGTTTTATAAGCAACACTGTCAGGTGTTATAAGGTCACAATGCACCTTCAATTTTTCAATATTATTTAATTGAAAAATATACCCTTGAACAAAATCCTAGAAACAATTAGGCCTGTCACGATAACAAATTTTGCTGGGTATTTAATTGTCTCAGAAATTATTGCGATAAACGATAATATTGTTTGAAATTTAACAATAATTAATTGTCAAATTTTAGAATAAATGTTGAATTGTTTGGAGTGTAGTAACTTTTTTGACCACCTGACGGCAGTATAAGACTATTTGAACCGAAGGATGGATGGTTGAGCAGCGTGTCTCTTTAAGAAAAATGGGAGGGAGGGCCCTTGACATAACATGGGGTGACATGGCGGATGCTCGGTGATTTGAGCTCTTTAGCTTAGCATTTTTCACACAAAGCTTTTAATAAAAAAATCAGTAAACAAGTTCTCAGCTTCTTTTTGCAATTCAATTCAGTTTATTTATATAGCACCACATCACAACAAAGTTGTTTCAGGGCACTTTACAGAAACATTCACATACATAAAAGCCAATTAATAAAGTTCTCTATCTAAGGAGAAAAACAAATTTTTACACGAAGACACAGGTTTCAACCGTGAAATTTGGAGTCTGACAAGACGGAGGTTTATTCTCGAAGTCGGCCTGTTAGCTTAGCTCGTAGCTTAGTTTCTC